TGTGTGTGTGTGTGATGATTCTTTCTAGAAATCAAGGGTTTGGATCCCTAACTTACAGATCTGTGGATTTTTTTCCATCTCAAATCTGATATAGCAGAAACAATGAAAGAAACAACATAGAGAGAAGCAATATTCTGCTGTTTTATATTTTCAGTTAATGTTGAATCATGGGCTGAAGTACAGTAACACGTGGGGAGCTAGACAAATTGATTACCATATAACTTGTGTTAAACAACCAGAATTGAAGATCATATACAGTATGATGCCTCCATGATAGTCATTCCCATAATGAATTAATCCTATTTAAACCTATCTTCATCATCATGATAAATGTCTATCATTATTATCATATTGCATATATATTGTACCTTTTCTTTTTTCTGTGAGTAACCCATTGCATTTTAAACAGCTCCATTTATCCCCTCAACAGCAAGCCTATGGTCATTTAGGCTGAAGGACTGTGACTGGAGCAAAGTCAGTGGACTTGCCCAATCCAACACTCTAACTTCAATCAATTTATGGAAGAGAATGCATTTGTTCTTTTGTTCATGGCCTAAACTTGGTACCTGAGACCTGGTATTTGCATGGAGGCTACACTAGGGATCAGGTCTGCCATCATGATTTTGCTGCTGCACCTTCAGTGTTGTAACTTGTCTGGTGTCACGAGAAGCACTATTTGTACCACTTGCCCCTTAGAAGTGAATGGCTGTCTTTTTTGCATATCAGGCACAGGTAAAGCAGTTCATGCAATAGCTCCCCTGCCCTAGTTTCTCCAGTGGGGGCCTGGGTTTACTTCTTCCATCTGCTTGCAGCACATTTCCTACTCTCTCATAAACTTGATAGGGGTAATTTAGAACTTTCTGTATTGCCTTCTCCTTTCAGTTGTGTACTTTCAAAGTAGCCAGAGTGGAAGTTGCTACCATGATTTGATAATTGACGCTCAACTTGGAAGCTCCATTTTTAGGTGAAAGAGGGTGATGACAACAACACTATATGTAGTTTATCTGATTTTACTCTTTTAATTACCAATGAATTTACCTTTCATCTCCATAAACTGATCTTCCATTGAAACATACATTAGGTAATGAAGTTATATTTGTTCATAACTTTTCATAATTCTTTTCTTTGCCACAAATTGGCTGAAATTACACAGATTTATATTAATTGCTTAGTGTACTATACATTCTGTTTCCATTAATGTCCTCTCTCTCACACACACATGCACACACACACAGAGAGACAGAGAGAGAGAGAAGCACTTCCTTTTAGATGGGCTATATCACTTAGTATCTGCATTACTCCTCCATTTTTGTTGAGAGAAAAAATACACGCACGCACACACACATATATATCCATATATAAATTTAATCCTATTTCAATGCTTTACTAATAGGAAGGTAGCAGTCCATTCTTCTGCAGGGCTATTTTAGCAAGGTGTTGCTAAGTATTAAATTGAGAAAGGATTGTAATCTTTTATGAATACTTTAGGGCCTTATTAATCTAACTTGAATTTTCTGGTCCCGTGGATAGATGATGATTTGTTTATTTTTTATATTATTTTATTGCTATGTTTTTTGACATGTGAAATTCATAGTACTTGTTATTTTAGAGAGATGCACCCACCTGATATAGATTCTACATGAGTGAACGAAGCTTGTAATTGAATTATATTGAACATTGTTTTTTTATGAACTATTTGAGCTTCACTTGATACCGGAGAATAATTCTACTGTTTATGTACCATTCTATGTTCATGTGTAAACAAAAGCATTGGACCTGTGGATTATTGTGCTAGCAGTGTGGACTTAATTGTCCAAAAACAGGACAAGGCATTCATGTCAATGCATTAGATTAACTATAGAGCAGCCAAAAAAAATCAATCTCATAATATTTACTTTTCACATATGTACAATTGTCTTTGCTAAGACATTTGTTGATCTATTGACCTGTATTTTTTGCCAAGTGATTTTTCTCATTCTTCTGCCATATATATTTACAAGAAGTAGTTTCCAACATAGTAACAAGTGCAAGTTTATTATCAATTAATAAAATACATCAAAACAACAACCACATGTAGTTCGACACAAAATAGCTCATCATTACCAAGAAACCACAGCTCAATATATCACAAATGCCTTCTGGGAGAG